TAGCTATACCTGATCCTCCTAGTCAAATTCATATAACAAATATATCATATTCATCTGTATTAATAAATTGGATACCAGGTTTTGATGGTGGTGCACAACAAACATTTCAAATTCGTTATCGTCTTTCAACAGATAATTCTTATGTATATGAAAATATACCTATAAATATATTCTTATATGATTTAAAAAATTTAAAATTAGGAAGTGAATATTATATAAGTATACGTTCAAATAATTCATATCATTTAAGTAAATGGACAGATGAAATAATAATTTCAACATCAAATTATTTACCATCATTAAAATTTCATTTAACAGATATATCATCAACAAATATTTCATTTACAATTCTTATTATAATAATATTAATTGGTTTAATTATTCTTTTAATTAATATAATACTTATATGTTATTTTATAATAAAACGTCGACAATTAAATATAACAAGTGAAAATTCATCAACAATAAGTACAAATGAAACAGAAACAAATACAATTGATATATTTCAACCAATTCCATCAAATTTTTTTTTAACAACAAATACATATAAAAAATATGAAGATGATGATATTAAACGACCATTTGTATCTTCATGTTCATCAACAAATATAAATCATTTAGGTAAATTTTATTTTTGTAAAAAAAAAAACAAAAAATTTTTTCTTATGTTTATATTTTTTATTTAGATAATAGAACTTCTTTTGCAAGTCTAAAGGTAAATTTAATTAATTAATTGTTTTTTTATGTTGAATATTTTTTTTTGTTAGAATAATTGTATTTCTCCATATGATAATGTTCGATTACATCAATATTATCCAACGGATATTGATAATAGTCTTATAACATATCGAAGTTTTAAAGATGGTATAAATTATTCAATAGATACAAATGATTGTATACGAACTGAACTTGTTTAATTAATTATATTACAGTGATTAAAAAAAAGACAAAAAAGATATACATTATTATCTTCTTTTTTTTTTTTATTTTTACATGAATAAAATATGATTTTTTTGTTTTTTTCTCATTGAAGAACTGTCAAATAAATTCAGTGTCAGTTCAATTATGATTTGTTTTTCTTGTTATTCAATGTATTATTATCATAATGATGTCGATGGATTCTTGACATTTTTTTTTTATCTAACATGGACAACTTCTATTTTCAATCAGAAATTAATATATTTTTCTAATAAGAATTATTAGTTTGAATCATTGCACCTATTTGCATATTTTGCTTTTCAATATTTCAATCAAATCTCATTTTAAATATTTGTCTTGTCTTGTCTTGATGAAATTCACTAACAACTACAGTATACTAATTATTTTGTTGATTTTTTGCACTGTCAAATGTTATTATCTTTAACTAGTGTATATCTGGTCTTTTGTTTTGGATTGGTTATTATGACCTTTTTGTTTTGTTTTGTTTTTTCGTATAATTCTCAACAGTAAACAAAAAGAAAACATACAACCAAAGAATCAAATCGATTCTATAATAAAACAAATTAGTCTCATCAAAGTTTGCCATAATTTTTCTTTTCATAATATTTACTTTTTAGACTCCAGCTGGTATATAAATTGTTTTGACAATTTTTTCATCAAGATGATCATTGACTTATCGATCTCAATAATATAGTACGATATTCTCTAGCATATTTTTGAAAAAAAAAATATCTATAAGTATTCAACTAAAAAACTAAAATATAAATATAAATTCAATTCAATACATTTTATAATATATTTGAAATATCAATTCATCGATCAAAAACAAATGTATATACTTACAATTATATGACTGTCAACACAATCAACTAGGACATCTTGATTATCTAAATATAGCTAAGAAATCAGAAATTAGAAATTTATTATCTTGAAAGAAATAAAGATGATCGTTAGAGTACATCATTGGCATTGAATGAATAGACATTGTCATCGTAACCAAAAAAGAAAAGTACTCATATTAGCGAAACAAACATTTTTCTCGCTTTTTTTTTTTGTTTTATCTCTAAGATATCTGTTATTCTGATGACGATTTTCAATTATCCGTATAAATAAATCATTGATTTCTGGTATTTGTCATAGGTTATTTTTGTTAAAAAATCAGAATTTTAATAAAAGTTAGTAATAATTTTGAGATTTTCTATAATCTCTAAATGGTTTATGACAAAAAAAAAATTTCAATATCATAGTAGAAAATTTTATTACTTTTAAAGATATAGAATAGACATTTATGATGATTATATCTATAAGATGGATAAGATACTTTATTAATATCTTGATTTTATTAATGTGTCATGTATTCAAAATAATTACTGATTATTCATAAAGTTTGTTATATATATTAATCGTAGTTGATATTATGTGTTTATATCTTATAGAATTTCTTTGAATAAACAAACATCTGAAATAACATAAAAGAAATGGCTAGTTTAGTTTATTGATAATCGACATAAAAAAAAAAGAAATAGTCTAGTATTTGTTTTTTTTTTTATTTAAATATGTTTCAAATTAATAAACATATATTAATATAGATGAAAGAGAAATTAATTAAATAAATATAATCTTTTTTAAAAATAATTATCTATACAATTTGAAATAGTATTTTTATATTTTGTCATATACAGAAACAAATCTTTTGCAAAAAATAAATTATTCTAAGAATGAAAGAAAGTCTTATATATATATATATTATCATTAGTCACATCCCGTAATATAATGCTTAGTCTAATGTTTCTGACAACGGAAGAACAACGCTCAAAACTAATATGATTTTTCTATATGATCAATAATCGTTGTAAGAAAAATGGAAGAGACAAAAACATTTGATGAGTTAATCATGATTCTTAAAAGTAAAAGCCTAGAAATTTTTTCCATTGACTAGATCTAGGATCGATCTAATGGATAATACTGTAAGAGTAGCAGTTAATTATGACTTGATTATTCTATAATTATTGTCAAGATTGACTTAGAAATGTCGAGGTTATATTAGTAACAGAATACAAATAATCGATGAAAAAGTATCCCGCATCTCTAGAGTGACGAATAGATCTAGGCTAAGAAAATTCATTGTAATTAAGATACACAGTATGCAAATCTAAATATATTACACGTGACTATTTGTATTATTAATTTAATAGATTTAATCATATAAAAACACATTTTGATAATATATAAAATTAAATAAATTTTTTTTTTATTTTCTAAATCGAAAATTATAATATCAAATTACACAAAAAATATATATTCTATGTTCGAATTTATTCGAATAAAATTTTATACTATTTTTTTTTTAATATATATATATATATTTCGATAAATTTAAATTTAATTAATCAACATCTTTTCAATTTTTAATATATTTCATATACGAAATAGAGATTAATGAATGTAGTTGTTAATAATTAAAGTTGACATATATATGAAAAACTATTCAAGTCAATGATATTAAATAAATGTCGAATGCTCAAGGGCAACGAGTACTATCGTATATAATAGAGAAATTCTTAAAATAGAAGAATGGTCATAAAAGCTTTTTTTTTTTAAGATATCAAACAAATGTTTCTGAATCTAATCTTCATTAATAACTTCAAAAAGCTAATTTTCTATAGTGCAAAATATGAATAAACAGCTGTTATTCAATATAATATGTTATCTATTTCTCGATTTTTGTATTTTAATGAATAATAAAATACGTTTACATTAATTGTTAATTTTTTATTATTATTAAAAAAAAAAAAAACGTCAAACATTAATTTCCCTAATATATATATAGAACTCAGTTAGAAACTATCATCTTTCTATTTATATTATTTTTTACATGTTGCGATTATCCTAGATGATCACGAAAGACTACTGATAATAGATCAAATAACTTTGAACACATTAATTATAATAGTTCAATGTCAAGTATAACAACAGATTAACAAAAAGAAAACATCTCTACTCACAGAAAAAAAAAACACATATACAACAAATGCTTGCCGCCTTGGTGTATTATGCTCTTTTTTTTTTCTTTTTGTCTAATTATGGATTTTTTATAATTGCATGTGTTATTCCATGTCTTAGACAAAGCAAGATCTGTCAACAATATAACCTTGACTAGAAGTTATGTTCTTTCTTCATACATACATTCTTGTTGATTCTATAGTAAATACTTCTAATCTCAATACTATGCATACATATATATACATTCTAAGATAAAAAGTTCAGATAGACAATGAATGAAGAATAATAATACTTGTTTAAAATATCAAACATATTTTTTTTTTGATTCTAAATATAAATAATTATATATACTCATGAGTACTCTTAAGTATCCAGTACTATCGTAATTTGCTTTCATACTGTATGCTTATATCAATAGTAGACAAATAATAGTCATCACAGCTGATAGACAAGCCACAAAATGTTAATATATTGTGCTTAAAACAGTAAAATAACGATGAATAAGATAATAAGTTAACATACGACTTTTTTCTTATGTTTTTATTTTTATTTTTATTTTTATTTTATCTACAATAGATGACAGTTTCTTTTTTTTTCTTCTCCCCCCCTCCCCTCATCTCTCTCTCTCTCTCTCTTTCAAGGCTTAGTGGCAAGAGGGCAAGAGACCGAGAGAAATATATATATATATATATATAAAATAGCCTAGAATACTGTTGTCGATTGGTGTGGCGGCGATTTTTCTAAGCTTATTTATCATTTATGGATATACGCAGGCTTTGTCGGTCTCTCTTGTTTCTCTTGCTTTTTGTATATGTATCATCCATTAGGTATAAATTATGTCAGAAAAAAAAAAAGAAAAAGAAGAAGAACGAAAGACCAAATATACTTTCTATAGACAAAAAAAAAAAGAGATCTTTTCTTTATAATCGAACCATATAATAGCAAAGCATGGCGTTCTATATAATGAAATAGTTCTGACATATTTCCTAAACAACAACAACAACAATAATAACAACAAAAAGATAGAAACGAAGAAGAATAATCATCAAGTTCAATGAATGAGCGGTGAGAAGAAACGATATCGATGGCGACATCGTCCAATATTAATTGAAGAAAGTTTAACAATTAATTCAACATCAACAACTATAACAACAAAAAATCAAGAAGAAAAACATACTGAAAATATTCAATGTAAATGGTATAATAAGAATAAAAATAATGATGATGATGATGATAATAATAATAATAATGAAAATATTCAATTAAAAACTTCATTACCAAATGAAACAATATCTGAAAAAATTGATAGAATTCTTAAAAAAATAAATGCTTGGACAAATGATACATCTATACAAACAAAACCAAATACAACAAATAATATCTCTATACAACAAAAAATACCTTTTAATAAAACAATACCAACAACAACTTTATCATCATCATCATCATCATCATCAAAATATGATAATATACATCGAAAATTAAAACCAACATCAACAACATTATTAAATACAGTTCGTCAACGTTGTTCATCATCAACATATGAAGATTCACCAATAATTAAACTTGAAAAATTATCAAATCCTCGACCATATTCAATGACATTTACTCATGAACCATTATTAATAAATATAACACATAATCAAAATCCATTATATGAAAAATCAAATATAATATTACCAACATATTATCAACAAAATTCAATTGATCCTAATCAATATACATATAAACGTCGATCAATATGTTCACAAAATACAAATTTAACATCATTATCATCAACATATGGTTCAGATTTTTTTTATCCATTTACATCAGATCAAGAACAACATAATTATGATAATTTAAATTTTATTGAAAATAATTCATCTCATCAATATTATGAACCATTTCCAACTGTACTTATTGATTGTCAACGTTGTAGTCAAAGTGTTGATCGATCATTATTACGTGATATATCATGTCAAGTACCATCCGATGAAGAATCTTTAGAAGATGATATACAATTAGAAAATCGTAAAACTAGAAGATCATCTCCCGTATATATATCACCACGATCATCACCAACACTTTGTCATCCACCAATGGCAAATAGTTTATTAGCTCCCTATCATTTACGACGAAAACATTCTTTATCATCATATGTTGATATACACAATCGTTCGAAATCCGTTCCATCGTCATCATCAACAATAACAACAACAACAACAACAACAACAGCATCATCATCATCAACAACAACAAGTCCAAAAATATATTCGATATTGTCAAGATTTTCTCCTTTACCAATAACATCCGATTCAAATTCTTTACCATCGACTACAACACTTCTTCGTTCGATTAAAACATCAATCAATGCAATGAAAAAACGTCTAAAAGATATTCGACGTTTGTCAGAGGTTGGTATATATATCTTTTCTATAATGACAATAACTATATATAATTAAGAGAAGTCAAAAAAAAAATAGAAATAGATATAGAAACAAAAGAGAATAAATACAATACAACATCTGTAGGTTAGTTTATTTTTGCACACCTGCATCCATTCATCATCATCATCAATTTTATCGAATTGTACGAATATTGTAAAGAAAAGAAAATCTTTGTGTCTATAGACAATATTTTACTACCTGTGTACACATCATTTTTTATTTCTAATGTCTACTTGATTATGGGCATGTTAGTAAAGATGAACGAGTATTTTTCTTTTTTTTTTTTGCTTCTTCTCTTTAATATTTTCTTTTTTTTCTTTTTCTTGACGCGATCATCACATCACATCAGCATAGTAATGATAAATGAAAAGATTAAATAGATAGGCCGTCAGTCGTTATTATCTCATTTATATGTGAACACATCATATAGTCAGTCTTCATTTGTCGACAAAGAAGAGACGAAGAAAAAAAAAACCAGAATAACATAGAATTACTATTACGGAGTAAGTAGTATTCTATTAAAATTTCGAAACTTATCGATTTTTTCTTTTATCGACTTACTTTCGAAAGTCGGTCTATCCGAAGAAATGATATGTCTACGTAATTCCGATTAATTTCTGTTTATAGAAATAAATAATTTTCTATTATCACATCGAAAAAATATCTATCAGTTTTATCAATAACTAGTTAATCTTATCGATATGTCTTATTATTCATTGCCCGAAGGTGACATGAAAATTTTAGAATATTTACATATATATATATCTATCGTATTTTTCTTCTGAAATTATTGACTTATAATAATAAAGAACAATACTCCCGGTTGGGAAGTTATAAAAAATTTTGTTTTTTTTTTTTCTTTTTGTTTTTTTGAAAAATATAATTAATCTATATATAAACTGCATGCAATGAAAGTCCCTCGTGAAAGAAAAGACTAGATTAAGAAAGAACTAACTGTTGTTATTGTTTATTGAAGTAAATGATCTTTGACATAATTACTACTGCTAGTGTTATAACAATCTTGCTTTCTTTCTTTTTTTTTTCATTTTTTTTGTTGTTGTTACTATTGTTGATGTTTGATTTCTAATATATCGCATCAAAAAAGAAAAAAGAAATTGAGCAAATTCATGAATATGCTACTAATGTTTTTCTTAGGCGAGAACTGCTTTTAACGAATGATTTTATTCTTTAATTCAGTTTATCGAACAGATCGATTAGCACTCTTCGCATGCACACTTCTCGATTGAATTAGCTATGTGTGCGTGTTTGCATGTATGTCTTGTTGAAATTCTTCAACGTCTTCGTCACTGTTGTCGTCATTTCTTGTCAAGGAAAAAAAAACTGCTTCAACCCATGATTCTCTTGTCTTGAACAGCGGCAAAAACAAGATTTTTGCTTTTTTTTATATAGAAATGTTTTCTTCTTTAGCTTATATGTGTGTATGTGTGTGTGTGTATGTCTCCACCAGGTTTTCCCTTTCCTCTCATCATTCATGGGAAAGTAATGAATGTAACCCTGTCTATGTGCATGAGAGAACAAGAAAGCGAGAAAAAAAAAAAAGTTGATGACAATAGAAAATGAAAGCACGAGAAAGCAAATGATGATAAAATAGAAAGCAAACAAATAAAAACTCGATATATACACATATACATATAAGCAAAATAACTGAACCATATCTGATTAGAATAACAACGCATGTAGTAGCATAAAAGTGAATTGTCAACAAATATGTTTTTATCATGATGTTAACTATATAATAATTCTATTGCCTTTTATATAATTATACTATTTTTTTACTACAATGAATTACTTTCAACAACAAAAAAAACACAAAAAAAAAATTAAAGATTTAAATAAGAATAATCGTTGTGATTAATATCATGATGTCATTGTTTTGATGATAGGAGTAGGAGTAATCATTGTAGTATATATATATATATATTTATATATGAGAAGAAAAAAGAAGGCCGACGACTACCAAAAGCAACATCACTGAATCTTGTGCGTCGTCGACGACGACAACACGCACACCAACACACGCGTTCGCACAAGAAACTGAGGGAGAGAGAGAGAGAGCAAGAGAGAAAAGAGAGAAGAGTATTATTTAATAAATAATCGTCGATGCTGATTTCATTTTTTCTTCTTCGCTACACAAGCATTTTGCACCATACGTGACTATTGAGATGGCGTACACTTGACTGGACGGAAAAACAGATAGTACTTTAGTTTTCGTCGCCATCAATTCATCCATCGATATAGAACTTCCGTCTAACCGACATTAGGTTTATTTATTTTTGAAATCTATCAAAAAGTTTTACTTATTTGATATTTATATTTCGTGTACTATTTTATGGAATTCTGGCGCAAATTGAAACTACGATGGGTAATTATTATCTAAATCTTTTATAAATAATTGTATGAGGTTATAGATGATTGATTGATCAATCGATCAATCGATCGAAGAGAATGATAAAGAAGCCTATTACTTTCTTATTTATACTTAAGTACATCTTTAAATATCAAGTTTTATTTCTTTTTTTTTTTTTTTTTTTGCTGTTATTGTCGTGTAGGACTCAAACGTGACAACCGTCTTAGACGATTACACGGCACGCAGCTCACAAGAACTAACTGTTAGTAAAGGTCAACATGTTCGTATCGTTCAAAAACAATTATCTAATGCGCCTGATTGGTGTCTTATACGTTTATTAAACGAACATAATCAACAACAAAATCAATCGACTTCATCATCACTTGCTGCATCATCAACAACTATTACAAGTGGATCAGCTGATTTATCATTAACACCATTTACAAAACATATTGAAGGACTTGTTCCAACAGTTATTCTTAAATCAACTAGATCATCTTCATCAAATATTCAATTACCACCACCATTATCTAATCTATTAAAAAGTAGTAAAAGTGAACAAGGTAAAACAAAAAAAAAATAAAATAATATCAATTATTATTATTATTATTATGATTCAAGAAACATCCTTATTTATTATAATTAAATTCAGAATAGCAAATATTCAAGAATCGAACTCGAGTATTCCCATTAGAACGATCAAAATACTAAGAATTTATATTTTTTTTTCCCTCTCTCTCTCTCCCCGATAAAAAAATGCTTATGTTATATAGCTTAAATCAATAATATATATATAGATAGATAGATAATGATAGTCTGTCATTGTTAAACTTCATTCGAGAAAACTAACATACTATAAGAAAAAAAAAAAAAAAAAGTCATTTGACATATCTGTCGTGATAAAAATTGTCTTATTCATCTTAAAAAATGATGATAATTGATTGTTACAGTAGAATTATTAAGATGAGATGCTAACAAAAAAAAAACATTGTTTTTAAGTTAATCTCGACATTTGTCTATATTTTTTTTTTTGCTATTCGTTTTCTATTAATCATACACAAACATTAAATCAAGTTGAATATATATATATATTTTTTTTCTTCTTTTCCTTCTTCCAAGTTAATTTTGATGGATATGATCATTTTTGAAAATCTAACAAATGATAAATAAAAATTGATTATTTTTTTTTTTTTGAGATTAATGATATGTATATCGAATATGATTTGTAAAAGTTCTATTAATAGTAAAATAAATTATTTAGATAATATAACAACAATAAAAAAAAATAAATAAATATTAAACTTATTTTCTATTTGATTTATATAATAATATACAAGAGTAATAATTCTTTCTTTTACCCCAAAAAAAAAGACATGTAGTATATACTTAAGTACTATCACTTCATAATATGTTATATTACTATAAAATATAATTCTTATTTGTATAAGTGAACTAAATGAAAATAAACTATAAGTACATTTTATTTTACTTCGAGATAGAAAAGGTAAGAAAAAGGAAAAAAGAAATAGTTTATTGCATCGTTTGAATAGTTTTCATTAGAATAGACAAAATTAGTTTGTTAATGCTCAGGATAAAATGTTTATAAAGCTGTTTATTTTCCTGTCTAATCCTAATCCTTCTGACGTTTTTTTTTTATTACTCATCTGTAGTTTAATGATAAATATATTAAAAATTAGTATAAAAACTATGAATATGTAACAAAAGGAAACAAAAAAAAAAACAGAGAACTTCCGGCATCAATACTGATATAATCTCTACTCAGGATATGAATGTTTTAAATTTGTACAATGATTATTTGATATTTATTTAGTATTATTTTGTTGTTTTTATCGAACATAGTACTTCTAGAAGTTATGATTAATAATTCATTACATCGCACTTTATTTGATAAGTTTCAATAAATAGAAATTAAATATTTATATTTTCAACGTTTCAATAATGGTGTATAGAAAATTAAGGCCTCCCCCCCACTCAAAAATCGATCTCAGCCTAGAAACGTTCAAATGGGCTGAAATTTTGAGCATATGTTGGGGCTAAAGTGGGGAGGCTGTGATAAAATTTTCAGCTCTATTCACTGGGATTTAACAGAGATATAAACCAAACAAGGGTCAAAAATAGCTCATTTTGGTACAAGGATTTCTCAGTCCAGGCTGGGTAAATATATTTAAATTTTTTTTTTGTTGGACAGAGCGCGTCAAGATGCAGGTCACTATAGAGTCCTTTTTTTTTTAAATTCTTACTTTTTTAGCGGAAAAAAGGGATCACAAGTTCAATGACTCAAAAAAAGCGCCAAAAATGAGTGTCTATGTGTGTACACCCAATAAAAAACAAAGCTTAATTAAAAAAAGGACTCTATGATGATCTGCATCTCGACGCGCTCTTTCAAACAAAAACAAAATTTAAATATGTTGGACGGACCCGAACTGAGAAATCCTTGTACCAAAATCAAAAAATCATAAATCGAGAAAAAACGAAAAACATTTCTGGATATTTCAAAAAACCGCTGGTTTTTCAAAAACTGGTTCTCTGAAATTCTGAAATATTTCGGGAAAAAATGGAGGTTTTAGGAAAAATTTTTATTGATTTTGAAAGAGCAGACGACGGGCTATTTTCCTATGTATTTATCTCAATTTTGACAGTTCTCACGAAAATTGACTTTTTTTTGAGGGGGGGAGGCCTTAATTGTAGTTTTACATATCGATTAAATCATCATTAGAAGACTGACTAAACAAGACATTTTTTTTATTTTCGGGCTTCTTCAATAACAGAACATGCATTTATATGTTAGATATCATCTATATCTTCCAATCATCATCATACTAATTCATTCTATACAAATTGCACTAGGATTAAACAAGTCAAGTCAAGTCAAGTCAAGTTATTTTTGCTATGTTTTTGTTTTTTTTGTTTCTGTTTATATTTTATAAAAAGAACGTTAACAATAAGTTTTATCATGATAGAATATCTTAGTTTTTATGTACGAAAATAAAATAATAACAATTCTATATAAAAATTAAATGATATAACAAAGTTAAAGCAATGAAATCAATTTCTTTTCTTTTTTTTTGCCTTTTAATATAGTTCTACGAGATAATAAATAATAATCGAAATTCAAAAATTATTGAACAAAAAAAGTGATTTTATTAAAAGTATCACTTTGGTAAAATATAAGGTCAACTAGGAATGATATAGTAGAAAACTCGATGACAAATTTCTTCGAAAATTGATCTATATGTTGAATTATCAACTTTTGCTTTTTTTTTTTTGAATGAACGACATATGACTTTTAAGTTCGAGTCATGACTTGTATTTGTTCAGCTTTGATAATTATACTTTATCAAATAATCAATGACATTTATAAGTTATTCTATTTTGTTTTGAATGCTTTCGAAATCTCATCAGATGTCTCTTTTTGATTTCAATAATTTTCTTTTGTCTAGAACTATTAAATAGTGTTCTAATAAAAACTTTAAAACAATTTGAATTTATATTTCTTAAAAAAAAAATTTAGAAATTTGAAATGAAGTCTCTTCGAATTATGAAATTTTCAATATATAGACTATCTTTTTGTTTTTAATAACGAATGTATGTAAATATGAATTCTTTTAAGAAAACTAGTCTAGATGAGTTCTCAATATGTGTGAAGTTTTAGAACAAAATTCGAAAATATGGTGTTTATTTAAGTTATTATTAGAATACTATGTAGTATTCTATAAACAAAAAAAAGAATAATCAGTGAAACCGGAAGGAAGAATCCAAAAAAAGGTTTCCTCATTTGAAGTACTAGTAATTATAGAAACCAGAGTTATAAACGGTAGTAGTAAATAATAGGTCAAGATCAGTTGAATAGAAGATTTCTTACCGAATGATCCCTACTTTTTATTGATATTGAACATAATTTCTATGTAAAAACATTCATCAAATTATTATATCAAATTAATAATTCACTACGTATGATATCCAATTGTTATATTATTGAAATAAAATCAAATAATTAATTAACATTATAAATTTTTAATAGATTTATTTGTAATTTCTACTATTTATTACATAGTTGTATTTCATACAGCATGTATAAATGATTAGAAAATAAATATAATCTAAAAACTAGATTAAATGTTTATATCTAGTAGATATTTAATGAATACAAGAATTTTTAGTCCTATCAATTTTCTATTCGAAATCATTAATAAACAAATATGACTTATGCTGACACACTTGTCGATTTGAATCTTTACATCGGTAGAGAAAAAAACCCTATCGGGTTTCAACTTTGATAGAAATATTTTGTTTTTTTCGTCTTATTTCTTTATGTTACTACTCATAGGATTCTAACCAAACTAAAACTAATAGATTTGTCGATATATTTTGATAGTGTTGATGTATCTGTACTAACCACAGAACTCGAAGTTCGTAAGATAAAGTGTTTATGATAGATAGCATTGGAAAAGAACTTTTTTTTTTTTTTTTATTTCCTAAAATATAATTTCAATGAATTCGGATTCTTTCTAATAATAAATTCAAACTCGAAAAGAAAATATATATTTTACAATTGTAAGACAAATACTAAGAATAATCTTATGATATAATTAAATAATAAGCTACTTAGATGAATTTTTTTTACAGTATAATAATCTTTATTATGTATATTATTGTTATTATATAAACAAAATTTCTATTAAATTTAGATGGTATTTCGGATGATATAGACGAATCTCAACAACGAAATTTTTCATTAGCTTTTCAATTTAGTAAACGAAAATCTAGTTTAAGGTAAATATATTTTTTTTTTCTAAAAACAATAATTTTGCTAATATATAATTTTTTTTTGTCTATGTGTATTTTTTATATTACAGACGAATTCTTAGAAATCCAGTTCGACGTCTTAGTTTAAAAGATACAAGTACTAGTAAAGATGTTAAAACACCAGATTCACAAGATTTAATAGCAACTTCTACAACGACTATATCAACAAATAGTGGTAATGATATATCTGTTAATAAACGACAACAATTATCTGCTAACTCTTCTGGATCAAGAAAGGTCAAGGTATACGAAAAATAATTGATTTATTGTGTTATTTTACTTTTTTTTTAATTTATTGTCAAAGGCATTCACATTTATAAATACTGACGATATGACATCATATCCTGATAATACGGTATGTCATCATTTGATTACTTTGATCAATTTGAAATTATATCATATTCCAAAAGAAAAATTATAATACCGAACATTCGATTATTTATTGATGAGACTAAAAAAAAAAACAAGAAGAATATATATATAACTTTCACTAGTATTAAAATAGAGTATTCTTTAGGTTTTTTTTTTTTTTGCTCTCTCTTTCCCTCTTCTTGTATTGATTATGCAACTCTTTATTCATAAGTGTTTATATACATATATATATATATATATGAACGTAGTACGCGAGAGCAAAAATAGAATAATATAAGCATATCGTTATGTGTATATCTATTACGTCGTCGTTATCATCATGTTCTTCCGTATGGCTATGAGTAACTACTATCCACATCATATCGATAAGTATATATGTAGTTCGTCATCACTTTCATTTGAATGATCATTTATATACATTGAATATAACTTGAGAGATAAAGAGAAAGAGGAAAAAAAAAAGAAAAATATGCCTGGTCTTTCATGGACAAAAAAATATAAATTATTATCATCATTATCAAAAAAACAAAATATTCATGAGAATGTAAGTTTCTGTTTCTTTTTTTTTTGCTTTGAAATGAAACATATTTATCTACGAATAGATTCAACTATTTGTTCTAGTCTTATATTTAATCTTAATAATTTTTTTAGAATTCAATCAATAAATCCATTGGTAATGGTGATGTAAATGATATTTATAAAATGACTGAATCATCTTCATCATCACCATCAACTATTATGACAATTATATCCCCAAGGAATAATTTAGAAAATAATATTATCGAAATACCATCATCATCATCATTCGATATTCAATCTCAACGTACAATATCATCAAACGATACAAATATTGATTTTTCACCGGCTGTAAGTAATCCCTTCTTTTTTTTTTTTTTTTTTCGTTTTCTCATATGAAGATCAGGTGACGCCATCAACACTAACAACAACAACAAAAAGAAAATAGAAATAGTGACATGCAGAATTGAAGCTATATTAGTAACAACACGAGCAGTTGGCCTTTTACTGTTTCTCATTCTTTCTACTTATATGTATAATGTAGTGCTAAGCAATACAAGCGTTATCTCGACACATCCATTACACACTTATGTAAAGAAGGCAACAGCAGGATAGTGTCGTTAATAATAATAATAATAATAAGACAAAAAAAAAAACAGAGAGTAAAAATATAAAAAAAAAAAAAAAAAATTCTTCTGATATATATATTTGTTTTCTATGTCATCAATGTTCAAACATAAACATATATTTTTGCCTTTCATTAATCATAGTTTTCGTTAAAACTATAGATAAAGACACAATTGCTTATATCAAGTTGAATAATAATAACAACATATATTGGTTCAATGTGTGCGAACGAGAATTTTTCTCGTCATCTAATTGCATTGCTTGTTCCTGATACTTCATCAATTGGAACAAGCAAGAGCACGAGAGAGAGAGCGCGCACGCGCACGAACGAGCATTGATGTATATACACTAGCATATATAGAAGAATGTTTAGGCAAAAAGTAGTAGAAAACGACAGCGAACCATTCGTTGTTGCTGAATAATCGCAGTAATAATATTAGACGATCGTACGAGGCTAAATAAGAACGGAATCAGTCGATAGTGCCTAGTTTTTCTTTCTTCTTTCTTTTCTTCAATTTTTTTTTTGCGTTTCTCGTTTCCTTTTCTTTTTTTTTTTTACTGCCTTGTGTCTACTGTCGACGTCTTTTGTGACATTTTCGTTTAATGGAAAGACAACGACGATAGTTTGTGCTAATGCCAACAGCATTATCAGTAATACAGCGTGCACTTTATTTTTAAGCATCTTCATTTAAACAGGCATAAAAGCCATTAAATAGTAATAGTATTCTTTATAACGGAGATCAATACAGTTGTTAGAAAATTGGTCAATACACTTGCACTGGAGTCATCCAGAAGTCATAGTCGTGACCTTTCATCACGTTTACGCAAAACACGTGTACCACCATTAACATCGATTAGTCCTATTGATGATGATTCTGTTATTGCTCGACTTGTTCAGCATGTTGTAAGCGTTATTAATAAAAATTAAATTAAAAAACAAAAAAAAATCTTTCTTTTATTTTTCTATGATTTTATTTTATTTAGGCACCTATTAATGTTGTTTCTGGACTTACAGCAAGTGATTTTCAAATCCCAGCTGCTTTGTCAATAACAACACCAACTGTCGATGATATTTCAACAAATAGTTTACCATCATCATTATCATCAACAATAACTGTGATTCAAAATGATAGTCAAAGTGAACAAACAGATGAAATATCTTTAAATGATACTGATCAAACAACATTATCATCTCTAACAACAACTGATGAACCTATGGATGCTCGAACTAAATATGGTGCAAAAAGAAGGTAAATTAAATTTTTTTTTGTTAGTACATAGAATTTATTTTATTATTCTTCATAGACATAATATTATGGAATTAATTGAAACAGAGAAAGAATATGTAAAAGACTTAGCATTAATTGTTGAGGTAAAATAGAATGAAAGACATTAAAAAAAAAAAAAAGAAAATTTTTTTTTTTTTTGTCTTACATCTAATGATTTATAGGGTTATATGAATGTTATTGAAAATGATAAAGATCTTAAAAAACCAACTGGTCTTACAGGCCGTGAACGTGTTGTTTTTGGTAATGTACAAAGAATATATGAATTTCATCGAGAGTAAATTTTCAAACAAAAAAAAAAAAATATTTCTTTATTTTTACATTTCATTTTTCTTATTTTTAAGTACTTTTTTACCACAACTTGAACAATGCATCGAAAATCCTAATACACTTGGTCGATTATTTACTGTAAGAATAGAAAGAAAGCAAAAAAAAAACTAAAAACCTTTTTTTTTTTTTGCTTATTATTTTTTATAAAGTCTAATTTTGTATTATAGACAAATCGATTTAATCCTTATGTAAGATATTGTGAAAATAAACCACGATCGGAATATATTGTTTCTGAATATCATGATTATTTTGAAGTAAGTTTTTTTTTTTTTGGTCATTGGTAACATGCATACTTAGATCTAAAACATAACTACGAACATTCCCTAGAGACACAATTGAAGAGCATCTGGTGAAAGAAGAAAAAAAACCCGAGACAAAGATATACACAATTAGTAATTACAAATGGCTATTTGTATTAGAACACAAAAAAAAAAAAAAAAACGAATAACAATATGAGAATAAAAGTCATGATCTTTTCAATTATAAAGAATTTCTACTCGAGACAGAAAAAACAATTTTCATAAGAGTAATTATTCTCTTGAAAAAAAAAAAATACGAGTTTTTTCCTTTTCCGGAAAAAATTTACAATCGAGAATCAATAGAAAAGAGAAGTACGAATAGTCTCTCAATCGAGGTCTTATTTCATCAATGACTATAATAATAATAATAATTATTATTATTAGCTAGAAAAAAAAACAAAAAACATATGACTATATAGAGTCATTCTAATTATATTAAATTATCTTATTTGATAGAAAAATAATCAAAAAAAAGGTTGAACAGTAGGCTTCTTTGATCTATATAGAATTTATTTCTTGATTGAAGAATTATTTTCTTTTATATAACATATTGATTTAATGAGAATAATAAGATATTGACGATCTTCTAATATCTATTGTGTTGATATTAGTATAATCATCATCATATGCGATATTTAAAGTTGTTTTCATGATAAATAAATAAAAAATATTTTTATAAAGACATAATTGTTTTCTTAATAATCATAGAATCTTTATCATAGTTAAGAACAGAACTAATTAAAGAAATTCTATCTATCGTTTTATTATCTTGCTTTTTCCAGGGATGATGTCCCGAGGTATTCAAGATTGGAACAAACGGAACTCTATCATTTCAGAATACAGATGTATATTACTAACTTTAGTGTTGGTCTAGGTCATCAAAATCAAGATTACAAGAAAAATAGTTTTCTCAACCGGAACTTAAGATTATATTCAAGTATTCTAGAGTTTTAAGTCAATTATATTATAGATCATATGAATCAGAACATATTCAAGAGTTTTGACCCCAGAAAAAAACGAATGCTAGTCGTCATTGGTGAAAAATGCGAATTAATCTATTCGAAATATTTCTGTACTTTTACATAATCAATAAACAAAAAAAAAAACAAATTTCGAATATAACTAAAATTTTTGACTATTTATTTTAGGAAATTCGTAAAAAACTTGGTCAAAAATTACTTGTATCTGATCTATTAATAAAACCTGTACAACGAATAATGCGTTATCAATTATTATTAAAAGAAATTCTTAAATCAACAGAACGTATGGGTGATGAATCACGTGCTATACGTAGTGCTTTACAAGTTATGATTGAAGTACCACAACAAGCTAATGATATGATGAATGTTGGTCGAATAAAAGATTTACCAACAAATGTACATCAATTAGGTGAACTTAAATTACAAGATATGTTATCTGTTAGTGATCCAATATCATCAAAAGATTCAAAAGATATTGAAAAAAAATTAAAAGAACGACGAGTATTTTTATTTCAACAATCCATGATATTTTGTGATGAAATACCAGCAAAAGATAAATATTCAAGTCCAAATTATATTTATAAATATGAACTTAAAGTAATATGAAAAAAAAATAAAAAATAATGTTTTTTTATTGTTGTCTTTTTTTTTTGTTTGTTTAGATTAATAAATTACAACATAAAGAATTTAAACGTAATAAAGAATTATTTCAATTTACATTAGTTGAAGTTGATGCTGGAAATACACGTCGAGTTATTTGTCAATGTAAAGATGATGAACAATATGAATTATGGGTCACTAGTGTAAACAAGGTGCTTCAACGTCAGATGGATCTTATTATAGGTATATATATCATCAAAAAATTGATTCTTATAACAAATTTTATCTATAATGTAATAGTTCTATTTCATGATTTTTCTTTTTGTAAATTTTACTATCTACATAATAGAAAAGTCCTTCAGAAAATTTTAACATTATTATTAATGATATTCTCTATAGGATGGTTCAATCTAGAGTCTGTCGGTTAAGGAGTACTAAATAGAATTTGACCCTGAAGCTATTATTATTAGTTTTTTTATCTATTTACGATCACAAATATGAGCAATGTAATTATAACCGCAAGTGATGAAAATTCTATCAGAACGATATATATATATATAACAAATCGACTAAACTATACTATTGGTGTGCAACAAATTAAATCATGTTTTTATTGTAAACTCAAAGATTAAATTACTAAATTTTATTATTTTTTCAAAATAGATTATACTGAGATTGTTAATTGAGAAGATTTTTTTTTTTTTATGAATCTTATCCAATGTTAATTGTATACTACTTGAATGTAAATTACTATTAAAGTATATAATTTAATTATAAGAAGAATATGAATTGATTCTTGATATGAATTATGTCAAGCAATAGAAGAAGTACTGTTAAAAGTTAGTGATGAAGCTATTCTTGCATTCTTTTTTTGTCTAAATCTTGCAAATTCTTCTTGATGATATATAGCATAATAAACAAAATAAATTCTACGATGAATAGAATGTTTACAAACATAATATGTATAAATATCTATAGTAATAATATATGAGTTTCTTTCAAAATGTTATTAGTTCTTTTTTTTTTCTTGTCTTAATTGAGTTTGGCTCAGAAAAAAAAATGTTTGTCGACATTTTTTTTTGTGTGTATTGGACGATTGATCACAGTTGTCTCGTCGACCTCTAATTCTTATCTTTGTAGTTTTGAAGATATGTCAATGTTTATATAAACATTATCTATATCTTCAAGTATTATTGTCAAGGTTTATGTATGCATAATTCTGCATCATTAGTAGATTTAGTGAGAATCGTTCTTTTCTTTATGAAATATTTTTTTTTTTTGACTTTTCTTACCAAAAAAAAAGTCGATACGACCTCTGATGGAATTTTCAGACATAATCGATGGCCTTTCACAAAACCTTGGATTCACCAATGTTCTAACCTTAGTCTAATGTCGTCTCTACAATTAATATTAGCTATGGCTTTGAGCAGAAGGCCAACTTGATTTAGAGTTTTTGTACTTCTCGTACATTAACTAACCACAAGAGGACATACAGTGTTTTATCCAGACGGGTGCCCGGGAGGGCCGCGCCCCCCCCCCCCCCCCCCCCCCCGAAACTTGCGATCATCGTACTAAAAACACGTGGCTTGCTCTCCTGAAAATAATTTTTCGCCTCCCCCCGAAATTCCAAATCGCCCCTCCGGAGAAAAAATCCTGGATAAAACACTGAGGACATATATATATGTAGTGAGCATATTATAGGACTAGTAATCAGAAACAAACAATTGTTAGTGATTTGTTTATTATGATTCGATTGTATAAAGATATTTTTTTTTTCTGTTTAGCTCTAACAAATCCAACAGCTGCTCTACAAAAAGAGTAAGTCTTATTAATAATAAATATTTTTATTTTTTTCTATTCTAATTTTTATTTTTTCTTCAAATAGTCCTCGTTCTAAATAAAATAAAAGATGCATATAAAACAGACAAAAGAGAGAAATGAAAAAAAAAAAAAATTAAAATTATATACATTTATATTGAGTAAGAATAATTAAATGAAATAATTCTTCGTCTCTGTATGCATTATTATTTTTTTATTATCCCGAGCTTATTTTTTTTTTTATCTGTTTTCGCATGTATATATTTCCAATCCCCTTTGCCTGTTTGATATATATATATATATATGCCTCTTTGTGTGTAATGTTATATGTATCTACATAAATCATAGGTTATTAACATGGGAAATACCTGAATGGAGACAAGCAGGTCGTCGATATTTTACGAGTGGTGATGCTAATGCTATTGTTTCATCGCAGTCAAATATTTAAAAGAAAAGAAAAAAAAACAAAGCAAGAAAAATTTATATGAGCTTTTGATTGTTTTTTTTATTTTTATAAAAAACAAGCTTTGACACATGCTGCTATTAAATCTAATACTCACATAATAAACTTCTTAATTTAATTTAATATTTATATAAATTAAGAAATTTTTTATTTATTTTTAGGCAAGATTCGTCCATGTTATTGTTTACACCTTCATATAGAAATCAAATTAAAAAAACAATATCTAATCAAATGGATAAATCATTAACATCATCAAAATATTCTAATGTATCAAATTTAAATAGAACAAAAGAAAATAGAAATAAACGATCATCATTATCATTTTTTTTATTTGATTCGATTTTTTCACATTCAGTAACAAAATCTTTGACAACAAATACAAAATATGAACAATCATCTAAACGTTCTTATTCATCATTATATCCACAATCATCTTTAATATCAAATATTCAATTATCTGAACAAACATATTCTTCATATAATAATAATAATAATAATAATAATGTAATAAAAGAAGATGAATATGTTCAATTATTGAATACGAATAAAGATAATAATTAATTTTTTGTATATTGTTAAATATTAATCAAATAATATATATATACATATTAATTGTCAAAGGTTGGTTACCGAATTTTGTTTATGAATTTATAATAATTATCGAATCTCCATCACCATTATTAAGTTTTTTTTTCTTTTTTTTGTTTTATATCTTCCAATAATCTTTTAATCATTTTAAAAATGGTAATGGATAAATCTTATGCTCTCTACATTTTGTATGCATGTATGTATACATAACGAGGATATGAATCTCTATTTTGAGCAGCAATCAAATATAGTCTTCTCTATATTTTGTGTTCTGTTTCTTTTTTTTCTTTTGTGTGTATTTTTCTCAATTTGCATAAAAAAAGAAAAGATGTGTGTGTGTATGTCATTTTTGTGTGGTTGTCTTTTTTCTAATCGTTCCGTGTTCTATATAGCAGCTCATACAAAATATGTTGTTTTATTTCTCTGTTATTTTTTTTTTTTCTTCCGATTAAATTTTAATGATGATGATGATGAATTAAAATATTAAATTGAATGAAAAACAATATTTTCTTTTTTTAAATTTGATCTAATTGATTACAAAAAAAAAAAATCAATAGAGAAAAGAAAATGATCTTGATCATACGTATCATATCCAGGGAGAAGGAATATATGTTTTTCTATGATGTATGCATTTGAATTTTTCTTTTTATCGTTCTTCATTTTGATGTTTATATATATACAAAGTTCGCTAAAAGTCAATATATATATATATATGTACACTTTTGTAAATGTTGCCAATGTGTCTAGATTAAATGTTTTATCGTTTGTTTTCGATTATTTATTAACTTTAGAGAATACTTTAGGTAGATCAATTTTTTTATAAATTTTCTCTTTAATATTATAGATTATCAATGTTTAGTATTATTATTTTTTTATTTATTACTATTAATTGTATTCATTCACAAACTAAACTTACATTACCAACATTACCTTATGCATATAATGCACTTGAACCAATTTTCTCTGAACATTTAATGTATTTACATTATGATCAACATTTTCGAACATATACAAATAAAACTAATGTTATTCTTAAAGCAATATTTACTGATATACAAATTGATAATAGATTAAAAGAAATAGTTAAACAACCTATTGAATTAATTTTAACAAAATTAAAAAATTTACCAGAACAATATCAATTACCTTTACGATATAATGGTGGTGGTTATATTAATCATAAAATTTTTTTTTCTATATTAAAAACACCAACATCTATAGTTAATGAAAATAAACCAATAGGTCCATTACTTCAAGCTATTGAAAAAAGTTTTAATTCATTTGATAAATTCAAAGAATTATTTAGTCAAATATCAAATGAATTTTTTGGTTCAGGATGGATTTGGCTTTATATTGATGCAAAAACAAAACGTCTTGTTCTTAATTATACAATTAATCAAGATAATCCGTAAGCAAAAAAAAAATTTATATTAAATAATTATTTTTATTTTATTATTATAGAATTATGTATGATAAAAATCATGTTATTTTATTATGTATTGATCTATGGGAACATGGTTAGTATAGAAATTTTAATTAATAATATCTATAATGTTATACTTTTTTTTTTTTCTTAGCTTATTATCCTGTTTATGAAAATCGTCGTAGTGAATATATTGAAAATTTTTGGCGCATTATTAATTGGCCTTTTATTAATCAATTGTATATTGAAGGTCAAACTAAACGAAGTGATCTTTAATATAGAAGATATTTCTAGTCATAGGAAATCATCAGGAATTTTCAGTTTTTGTTTTATTAAGATCTTTTCAAAAATAAAAAGATAAAAGTTTCTGTTTTATTTCTTAGAAATGATCTATTGTCGAAATCATTTTTATAATATCAACGCTAAAATATTAGATATATTAATTTGTTTCTTTTTTAAGTAACTCTCAATAAGAATATTATAGAGAGTTGAGTTTTTTTACTATTCAAGAAAAACAATTCGAAGCCATCGAAATTTGATTGATCATAGTACTTATCGATAGAAAAAAGTCTCTTCTTTCAATCTCTACTAAGCTTATTCTACTCAAGAGTTATAGGACTTCCGAATTTAGTCAATTGATCTCTGATAAGCTGAAAAATATGTAATTGATTATCTCATGTTAAAAAAAATCAAAATTTTCTCTAGATAAATTCTTAAGAAAAATTTCAACTAAAATATTAATCAACAATTATTTATATGAAATTTAGTTTATATGTGCTTTCTTGTGATCATTGAAACACTTTAAATCTTACAATGGAAAAAGAAAAGGTCAATCTTTCTGAACTTTATAAATTAAATTTTATTGTTTGGTTTTTCTGTATATATATATCTTGTGCTAGATAGAAAAACTAATAAAATAATTATAACCTTCGACGAAAGCTTAAATTGTTTTAGAATAATGCTTTTAACATATCATTAAAAATAGTATGGATCATTTAGGAATCTTTTCTTGTTAAATATATCTATTATTACTATTTCATGATCGAAAGTTTCTATGACAAACTGAATAAAATTAATCAATTTTAATTTGATACTTTTTATCTATTATAGTTGATATATTTGTATATTCATTATTGTTGAGACTTTATCGAACATGTTTTTTTTATTTTTTGTTCTATAGACTAATTCCGTAGCAAGCAAAACAATATCATGAGATCTATTTAATCATAGATATTGATGATTAACTATGAAAAATTGTTTTTTGGAATATAAATGATATTCATTAACAGATATTTGTCGATGATGATATATATATTGATAAATGGATTTGAAATTAAATTGTACTTGACAAGAAAAGAATCATTTGTCTTTACTATAATGATACTGTTGAAATATCTTGTGTCATATAGACAATTATTCATTTCTTTATAGATATTATTATCTATCTTGCATCATATCAAGACATATTATGATATGTGATGTCTAGATTAAAATCAAAATTTATAATTAAACTAATTGATAGTTTGTGATGATTAGAAATTTTAAAGTGTTGATTCAACAAATGTACTGATAAAGTATTCTATAATTGATTCATTAGTACGAATATTATTTTGTACTGAGATAATAGTTAAATTCATATATTGAGTTTTTTTTTTTCTATTTAGTATTGTCTGTAAATATTTGATTATTGCTATGTAAATCATGATTATTGTTAAAACGAGTTATGAATAATCAATGAATAAGATTAGTTAATCTATAAAATTGAATATGATGACTATATGTTGTTCTTTCTATAATTATTTGTTATTAATGATAAGTTGATGAACTCGAAAATTTTAATTATCGAAATTGTACTTTTTGTTTTTTTTTGTCCCCTTATATTGTTTTATTGAAAATAATAATATTAATCATTTTAATTGTTAAAGTTCTATGATCATTTCAATTGAATCACAAAAATTAATTTTTATTCTAAAAATACTTTTTTTTTTCGAATAGAAAGAAAAATTTTGTTTTCAATCTTTATTATTAAGTAAATAAATTCTTTATTGTAATTTATTCACATGAATAGAACTTAATCATGATTTCAAATTTTTTATAAATCTTGCTGACGGTTTATTAAATAAAAGTCAATATAAGACTTATGTTAATTATAATTATAACATCATAAAATATATCGAACATTCACAAGTATAAATAAAATCTTTCCTTTGCAATTGAAATTTTATCCTTTCCTATGTCTTTTATAACAAGTTTAGTTTTTCTCAGATCTTTACTTTGGTCCGATTTTCAAAACAACCATCAATATAATTCAATTTACGAATAATTTATTATTCAACTTCAAGTCTAAATTGAATTTCTAAGAGAAAATTCTTCTAGTAAAAAGAATAACATTCGGTAAAATTTTTCTATTTTAATTTAACTGTATAAAAAGAAAACAGAACATGAAATGTATTAATGACCTACTTGTGGATTTATTCTCGATGGAATAATCATCAGATTATCGTTGAGAGACTTGAAGTACGTCATCAATGTTAAATGATTTACTGTTTGATAATTGATTGTTAATAGTGGCCGCGCGTGGCGTGACTCAAAAGGTTCAGCTTCTATTAGAAATTTTTCAGTCCCCATCCCTCTCAGAAACCTTCGAGCTGCCTCTAGAAATGAGATGATTTTATATAGTAGGCGAAATAAATGCCAGCTTTTCAGTGGCAAATTGGAGTTGAACTCTCATTAGTTATTTCTAAATGCACTATGTACACATTTTTCTATAACCCAGCCATACTTTCCAGTACATATACATAATCGTATCAATTATATGAATTATCTTAAAAAGTTGAATGTTCAATATAAATTTGGAGACTTCAATGAAGTGTCACACTTACAACTAGCATCGAAAGTAAATGAACTCTTGCAGTGTTTGTGAGAACATCTGATATCTGTTTGATCAATTATGAAAAAAAAAATTCGTCAAGCAGGCGTATACGACTGAGGATTCTCTAATAATTTAGATATGAGCATAGAAACCAAAAACTCGTTATGACTTATTTCATGGAATACTAGATTGGTAACGATAATTTGAAAGTCAAATGTCAATATGAAATTTTGACGTTTAAATTTCAACTTTAAGATGTGAAGCCAATGGAAAGATTTGAATCTTATTGTATATGAAAAGAAGGGTCCGGGTCATTTGGCCGACAATCACTTGGCCGACACATCACTTGACCGACACCATTTCGCCGACAAATTGTTTGGCCGACATGTACACTTCACCGACAACTCATTTGGCCGACAAATATTTGAAGTAAAATAAAATGAAATTTCTTGAAAATATTGCGTCAGAAAATCTTTTTATCAAAAGTCACATTTGTTTACAATGAAAGATTATGGGCAATGCCCCGAAGAAAATCGAACTTATCTCACGGGAAACAGTTTGTTAGCGGGAGACTTGTTTTAACTGATAAAAAATCGTCGTCTGATTTTATTTTGAAAAATGTTCACTATTTATAGGTGAATGAGTGGGAAAAATCCACGCAATATTTTCAAGAAATTTCAATTTTTTTGATCTCAAATATTTGTCGGCCAAATGAGTTGTCGGCGAAGTGTACATGTCGGCCAAACAATTTGTCGGCGAAGTGGTGTCGGTTAAGTGATGAGTCGGCCAAGTGATTGTCGGCCAAGTGAACGCGACCCGAAAAGAAAAGTAGAAATTGAATTTTGAATATTTGAACATTCAAAGTAAAACGTTTATTTTTAATTAAATCAAATTCTCAAACTTTAGACACGCCTTTCTTGAAGATATTCGTTTTATGTGTTAGATGTTACATTGCTTACGCTTGATAATGCGACTATTTGAGCAATGTTATTTTCTTTTCTTTTATAAATTTAAAATTTAAAATGTGTGTGTTTTTTTTTTTGTTTGTATTTCTTGAATGTGTTATAGAAAGAAAAGATGAAGCGAAAAAGCCTATGTTAAATTTTGTTTTTGATGTGTTTGCAGAAGGTGGCTTTAATCTTTTGTTTTCAATAATAACTAAATACATAGGAGTAAAGAAAGAATGAATAATAAATTTAAAGAAAATGAAGAGTAAAACTCTTATTTTGTTTGAAGAAATAAAATGTGATGAAAAAATGTTAATGTATTCATTATTGTCTCAGACTATTTTTTGCACAGATATTGTTCTACAAGAAACACCACGATCGAGGGATCAGAATGTAAAGAATGATTGCCTTAAAAATTGTACAAGAAGATCAGAAAGATGAAACTTGTCATGCGAACTCTATCCATACGGATAGCAGAAAATTCTTTCGAATCATCTATTTAAATATTATAAATCATGAGAATATCTCATGAAACCTCTAAATTTAAAATTTCAACTCATTTAAATGCACTTACGGTAAAAAATTTATTTTTCTTAAAATCCTGTCAAGATACCAAATACAGTTGATTCAACTTCACCCTCATATTTGTTTATCTGTGAAAATTTTGAGTTGAATTTCTGAACTTAACTTCTTACAATCATCTGAGAGGATCGCAACAATGTCATAAAATGACTTATAAATAGTAAAAAGTATCAGATGCAACGAAATACAGATGAAAAATCAATTATAAGGTATTCATAGTTTGTTAGTATCTCTATAATATAGACAACATTTGATTTAAAAGTGTGTTTTACACTTAGGATGTTTATTTAGGAGATGTAAAAGTCAATTTTATTTAGTACATAGCTTATCTAAGTATGTTCTGAGTCTGTACTCCTTTGGATCTTTTTCTTCCTTTGGTGCATTGGTCTCTGGTTGATCAGCATCTTCAAATCGATCAATTTCTTTGCCATCACGGAAGAAAATAAATGCCGGTGTTTCTTTAATTTTGAATCCAGTTTTGAAATCGTCTTCGTCGGGACATTTGTAACAATGGAGATCAAACTTATGTTCGTAAATCTGTCGACACCAGTTAAGTTTATGCTCCACACTATTTTCTTCGGGATATCTATTGTTATAAAGTTCAAATGAAATATTTGTGATTATAAATATAACTCTTACCTCTCATTGAATAAAATTACAACAAGTTTGTGTTCCTGAATCTTTGCTTTCGCTTCTGCTACTGTGGTAAGTTCTTTTGACTTAGCGAAAGTCATTCTATATCTTTGAGTCATGGTGTTATAATCAAAGATCAGACACTATTGAAGATGTTTTTCCACGATTAAATTTAAAAAAAAATAACTCAATGAAACTTATAAAATGATGAAAGAAAAATCTCGACGTAAAAATCTCAATGA